ATTTAAATTCAAATGGTTGTGTTTATTTTATGTTTTTATCAATAGAATTAATCTTTATTTTTTATTGTATCACAAGTTCAATAAATAACACAAATTTTGATAAAATAATTGTATTAAAGTAGAATTGTAACAATTATAGTAAGGAAAATAAAAGCACCGATGGCAGAGGATATTTGATTGAAGCGATTAATTGTTCGAATATTACCTCTTTCTTCGCATACGTTTAATTTAACAATTAATGTTTTTTCGCCTACTCCTTCACATTTATCGTTTTTATAGAAAGATACAACAACTTCTTCTTTATTTATTACTCCTTTTCCATATGTATTTTCTGTGCCACGTTGTTTTACACATCCTGATTTAAAATATGTTATTAATGGTCCATATTCTTTTGGATACGAACAAGTGTCATCAAAGTAAATTTCGGTCTGATATAAATGTGCAGGCAAATCTTTTGTTAATGCAAACTTATCTGCACCCGGTGGATTTTCTGTCAATGTATTGCAATCATCTCCAGAAAAATAAGTTAGATTGTTTTTTGTTGTTGCACTGATTTCAAATCGACCAAATTCTAATGGTTGAGATTTGATACATTTCCCTATTTCGGCTCCTAAAAAGAAGTTACTTTCATCAAGATACGCATATTCTGAAATGGTAAGTGTTGAACACACTAATAGCGAAATAATGTTCATTTTATTTTAAGTTTATAAAGCTTACTTTTAATAGTTATTTTATACCTCTATGTTATATTTTTGTTTTTTTAAAAAAAACTTTAACTTATATGTTTGATTGTTTAAAAATATATTTAAAATGTATTATAAATAGATTATTTGTATTAATTATTATAATTAAAAAAAGTAGTTAACTTTTAATATAAAAATGTTAATTTAGTTCATGAAATAAATAATCCAAAGAAACTTCAAAGTTTAATGTTGGAATTAGAAGTCAAAAAATCAAATATTTTAGTTGTACAAATAACAATTTTTTGGGGGTTTTAAAAATGTATACTGTATTTCTTATTATTGTTATCATTTCATAACACAACTTAAAATGTAAAACAATAAAATATAAATCAATTTGATGAAATGTGTTTGTAATTAAATGTTTGATTTTTTTAAAAAAATACATTCAATTGACAATTATTTAGATGAATTTACACCAACAATTATTGATAATATCATAACAATCATTTGGAATATTTTCAATATTTTGGAGCTTTTTTCCACTTATAAATAACTCAGCTATTTTCAGTGGAAACTTAAAATCAGTTTTATTGTATGCTTCTCTATAATTAAATACTTTATACATAGCAATCCCAAACGTATAAATATCAGCACTCTTTTTTTATTACTCTTGTTTTAAAACTTCAGGCGCAATATATATCAATGTGCCTATATTCTTTAAAAAAGTCATGTTAGTCACCAACAAATTAACATTTTTTACACACCTAAAATCAGTTAATATCGCATTCACTATATCTTTTGAATCAGGAAAAAATACCAAAACGTTGTCTGGTTTTATGTCTTTGTTAAATATTTTATTTTTCTTGTAAATACAAAATATTTTTTGAAGCATCTAACATTGTGCTTACTCGTACCTTCATTTCAATTTCTTCGGATTTTTTTTTATTTTTCATTAAGTCTTGTATACTTCCAAATTAAGCAAATACGGTGACCGTACATATCTTATTTGATATAAATACGGCGCTATAAAAGTGGACTATATATTCACTCCCGATTTTTTCCAACATGTAAACTTTTTTAAAACTCCTCAATTGACTTTATATCATTTACATTTATTTTCAATTTCTTTAATGCCACAATGTTTCTTCTAAAACTCCTATTATAAACAATTCCAAAATGCTTCCTCGATCTTTTTTCTTCGTTCAATTCTTCGGGATCTAAACGAGTTGAAATTTGTGTTTCTGCTTTTGCATTAATTGATATTTCATTTGTTATACATTATTTTATCTTATGATATTAACACTATTTTGTCATTAATTTTACATGAATATTTTGGGTTTAAATATATTTTAAATACAACCGTGGTACCTTTTTAAATAACAACAAATTGTGGTTCGACTCGTATTGAGTATTTATCAGCTGAATTTTCGAGAAAAAATTGCATTATATATATGTTGTTATTAACATTGCCAACACACATTGATTCACATTGACTTTCAACAGCCACTGGAATTTCTTTTTATGTGTCATTTTTATTTTCAAAAACAATTTCAATTTTATTTAACACGATGTTTTTGTTTGTTGTTTTTAAAAATGAAATAACGATTTTTTCATCGAGAATATACTAATGCCATTTTGTTTGTTGATCTTTGATTACTTCAAATAAACCTTTATTGAATTAGTAAATATAATAAAAATATTGATAACAATGGAATTAGTGAACAAAATAAAAATATTAAAATGACCCATCACACAGCTTTTTTAATACAAAAGTGCCACATTGACTTGAAGTGTTCCAAAAGGTTTATTCGAAACATTTTGAAGGAGAGACTGCTTGACAGTTCTGAATAAAAAAAATGTAATTCAAACAAACAGTATTGACTAATATTTTGTCAGATAAACATGTCATACACAAATTTAGTATGTTACAAGTGTTACAATTACTGTCGCAATTTTGACATTGATTTGAGTCGATTTGTTATATCCATCTTTGCATTTTGAACATCTTCTTTCTGTCACTTCAACCTCACAACTCTCTGATAAAAGTAAACGGGGTAGACAATTTCCTGAAGTCGTATTTAAAATTTGTTGAATTTAATTGAACACATTTGGTTAATGAGGAAATACAAGAAGAGCACGAGATGTAACAATCAAAGCAGTCCATAGCAATTTTGTAATATCAGTCCAAACATTCACTACACCATCTTGTTGTAACAAATTTGTTACATTTTCCAATCAATTTATCACTTGACTTGCATTCATGTTTTGATAAAAAAATTGCCTTTATCACATCTCAATAATATGAAAAAATAACACGTTTGACATAAAGAAGTATTGCACTCCGAACACGTTTTATTTGAATCAGAATAATTCTCATCTACACTTTCAAAACATTCAAAGTTATTTGTTTTTTTACAATTTGGAGTAAAGTTGATATTATTTAAAAAACAATTATTAGTCGAATCCAAATAACAATAATCTGAATATTTCAATCATTAAAAATTTAAAGAATAATAACAATTGGGTATTATATTAATTTATTTATTATTTATTTTTTTATTTTTGTGTTATTGCATTAATTAGTAATACATTTATTACCATTATCATTGATTTAACAACTAGCTTCACGATGTGTTACTTTTATTTTGTAAATTTCAGATATTGATCAACATTATCCGAACAATTGTAACGAATACCATTATCTATATATGAACCATTATAACACTAAATCATTTCTTCGTTATTTGTTATACATTTTTTAGATTTTTACAAGTCCAATTAACTAATATTGTATTTGTGTCACATACCAAGCATTTGTAATCAAAAGTTCAATCACCGTGAATACAATGTAAAAGACAAACATCACACAATCGAAATATAACACCAGAAGAACATATCCCACAAAAATTACCTTTTATGAATTGACAATTTAATTTTTTTGAATACAAACTCCATTATTGAAATGTAATCTTTTAAACATTGAAAGCAATTGTTATTTACCCAAATTCACAAAATTTAGAAGCTCCACACATTATATTTGTATTCAATACACGAATTTTAGCACAAAAACACACTGTTTATTGTCATTGTATTCAACACAAATATCTATTTCACAAACATTGTAATTTCATTTTATCTTCACATGACAAACATGTTTAAAAGTTGAAGTGTTTTTATAAAGTGTATATCTATTGATATTTAATTGAGGAGAGTTCAATACAGAATTTGTATGAAAGTAAAAGTAAAAAGGCCCGACATATGTTGTTAAATTCATAAAATTAACAGTTTTTAATATATACGATAAATATAACAATTGATTCTTATAAATTGAAACACTTACTAATCATTTACCACAACTTTATTGTAGTACATTTTGTATTTTTAATAACAGCCAAGAACTTTATATTTTTCGTTACACGACAACGTTTTAAAATTGAGTTATTTATCGTGTATACTGAATTAGAGTCGATGTTCAAAGTAAATTCAACGAATGTTGTTGTTCCATATGATTGTATTGTCACCACTAAGATTATAAAAATGTTGGTTACTTTTACATCTTCGTAAAAGGAATTTTATTAATAGTACTCCTATTCTCAAATTATTTCTTTGTCAATAAACACTTGTGCATATTCAATTTAATTGTTTTGTAAATCAATTGTAAATAACTTGGTCAAATAGTTTAAATAACATACAGTGACATTGTCATCACAACAACAGTAAGGATAGTCAAATGGGCAGTCTTTTACGTCGTTTTTGATATAATAGTATTTTGATATTTATAAGATTTTATTTTACAAGTTACAAAATCATTTATTTCATTTTTCTGTGTTCAACAAAATTCAAACCAATAC